CCCTGGGCAAGTCACTTAACCTCTGCCTGCCTCAGTTTCTTCATCTATAAAAGGAGGACAATAATAGCACCTACCTCCCAGGGTTATTGTGAAGATCAAAAGAGATAACATTTGTAAAGTACCTACCACTGTCTCCACATTGCAGAGCATAGGTCTGATGCTGGAAGGGACTTTGGTGCTTCTAATCCAATCCCTTCCTTTTACAAATGAAGAAACTGAGGCTTAGAGATGTCAAGTGACTTGCCCAATGTTGTATCTGAATTAAGCATCAGAGACAGGATTGTAAACAGGTGTTCTGACTCCAAAGTCCATACTCCATCCACTGTACTCAGTAAGCTGCCCTCCTTCTGGTGCACAAACCCTCTCTCCAGGGCTTATGGACCTTAGGAATAGAACAATTGTAAAGAGAGAAAAGAAACCTCTCACTTGTACACATGCAACTTCCAAAACTGATAATGACTCATGGCAACCACCTTTCTATTCAACAAGTGAAAGAGACAGGACTAGTGAAAACTGAAGATGATTTAGATGAATTAAATATTACTAAGTGTTTCTAAACACAGATATACTTACAAAAGATATACTTAAATTTTTCTTGCTTAGCTGTTGTTTTCCTTTAAAATATGATTTAGTCAAGGTAAAAAAAAACCCAATAGTAATATCTAAAAATTTATGTGCTTCTGTTGGTGGAACTGTGAACTGATGCAACCATTCTGGAGAATAATTTAGAACTATACTCCAAGGGCTACAAAACTGTGCATATATTTTGACCCAGCCATACCACTAGTGGGTCTGTATTGCAAAGGGAGTAAAGAAAAAGGACTCATACATTCAAAAACACTTACAGCAGCAATTTGTGTGGTGGCAAAGAATTGGAAATTGAGGGGGTGCCCATCAATTGGGAAATGACTGAAAAAATTATGGTTTAGATTGTGATGGAATTACCACCTGTGCTATAAGATGACAAGGGGGGTGGTTTCAGAAAAGCCCATGAAGACTTACATGAACTGATACAAAATGAAGTGAGCAGAACTAGTAGAACATTGTACACAGTAAGCAATATTGTAATGATGACCAAATGTGAAAGACTTAGCTACTCTGATCAATACAATGATCCAAGACAATTCCAAATGCCTTATGAAGAAAAATGCTATTGCACCTCCAGAGAGAGAGTAATGGACTCTTGAGTGCAGATTGAAGCACACTTTTTTACTTTCCTTATTTTTCTATTTTTGTATGTGTATGCTTCTTTTGCAACATAGCTAACATAGGAATGTGTCTTGCATGATTTCACATGCATAATTAATATCATATTGCTTGCCTTCTCAAGAGGTGAGAGAGAAGTGGGAAAGAGAGAATTTGGAAACCAAAATTTTTTTAAAGTGAATATTAAAACAATTTTAAATGTGATTGAGAAGTATTTAAAGAATAAATAAAAATATTTTTAAAAATGAAAAATGACCTCCTAGGATTTGATTATAAGGATCTAAAGAGACCTTACCACCTGGGCTTGAGCATTTTTCAGAAGGATGTTGACTGTTATCTCGTCCAGTGAGTCTTGGATACTATTTTAGCAACTTCCTTTTTGCACACAGATTTTTCCATGGTGAGGATACTGATAAGATATTTTCCCCTAATGTTTCTCATCCCCTTGCATAATTGAAACACACATACACATGCCAATGACTATTTCCTTTTTGCCTGGCTCTCTCATGACAACAGACTGTAAGTATCACATAGGAAACTCTAACAAAAGCCTCATTTGGCTAGGATTTGGGTTCTTTATTGTTCAGCTCCATATTCTGGTTGCCATTATGTGTCTACTCTATTATACTGAAATTAGTGATTATGGCATTTACAAACTGGGGGAAAATTTTGACAGGAATTAGCTACTCAATAGATTTTTCAGGGCCCCTTAGCCACGTCCCACAGTGCCTAGCACAGTGCCTTACACCATAATAGGTGTTCAGTAAATACACAACGATTGATTGCCTTTTCAACAAATGTGCTCCCCTGTTATTTTCTTTACCTTGGTATGTGTTCCAGTCCCCTGTTGGCTCATTCATTACTATATTTTGAACTTATGTCTCTATGGCATTTCTGAATCTCCTACAACCTTCAGCTCAGATTAACTTGTCCCTTTCTGAAATGCAACAATGTCCCCAAAAAGTTAGGAAACAGGGTTTTGACAATGAAAGTTTTGTGTGCTGTTAGTTATTTGAGAAAACAGTAATGGAAAGTGCTTTGCAAATTGTAAAGTATTTGTGTTTTCTTCCCAGTGCTTAGCACTATCTGCCTGGCACATGGTAAGCGTTTCATAATTGCTTGCTGACTAACCAATGTGGTCTATACGTGCGTAGTCACTGAAGCTGAAAGTCCTATATGCTGTCAAGCTATCCAGAAGGCCATAATCAAAACAATCTGTGTTCGAATCCTATGTTGGCATTATGACTTTTGATTATCAGCGCTTTAGTTTCTTTACCTGTAAAAACTGAATAACTGAATGAAAAATAAAAACATTTATTAAGTGCTTATAATATGCAAAGCACAGTACTAAACACAAACATACCTGCTCTAAAGGAACTTACTTTGTAAAGCAGAAGGCCACACTTAGCAGTGGGAGTCTGGGAGGGCTATTTTGCTTTGGAAGGATAGTAAATGAAGTCACTGGGGAATAGAATGACACACTCTTTCCAGAATGGTATTAACAGGATTCTGGTATATAGGAGGGCCAGGCAGCCTCCTAGGCATGGAGACTGAGGTAAAGAGAGCAAGGATAGAGTGAAGCATTGGGGGTGAACCAGGGTGAACCAGCAATAATGGACAAGGTGAGGCATTCAGTAGTGGTTGAGTTGAAAGTAGGTAAGGGGGTATTTATAGGGCTAAAAGAGTATAATACACCTCCAAGGTGTATAACTGCTTTACTGTGCCATTGAAGCATAAATGATATAATGTTTGTAAAGCTCTGTCAACTTTAAAATGTTATAATAAATGATGGCTATTATTATTATCATCTAAGTTGAGAATGTCTTTTGTCTCTCTTATCCCCAGCACTTATCATAGTGCCTAGCATATGGTGGTTGCTTAATAAATATTTATTGACAGACTGATGGATGGAAAACAAATTTCAATTATTTGAATGTTGACCTAATAGAGCCTTTAAACTAGCAGTTTGGGCAGCTCAGCAAGCAAAACAAAATATGCCCTCAAATTAACAAACTTAGTCGTTGGAAGATGAGACTCCGGGATGCCATGCACCAAGGGACAGACACAGTGACACAGTGTGGGGTTGGGGAGTGAGACAAAACAATACATCTGATAGCTTCCTATTTTAACTAATTTTTTAGGCTAATTAAATGGTAAGTTCAGTCGATTCTACCCTACAGGAGGGCTGTGAGCCCTGGGCAAGACTCTGATCACCCCCATCTTAGTTCCCTATTTTACCTTTCCTAATTCTTTTCAGATTTAGTCACTTCTGAAAAATTACTCTTTCTGAGGCCAGGCAGAGTGATGAGATTTGAGGGAAACCTAAAAGCTTCCCTTCCAAACTGTCACAGTGATTGAAATTTTTTGGCATAAAGCACTGAAGATTCTTTTTAAAATAGACTTCTTTTATCTGTTCTGGCAATACCTTATGTCTTCATCATCCAATATCACCATATTGAGGATTTGTTTGTTAAGTTACCTAGGAAGTTTCACAGCAAGACCTTGAGGTCAAGTGAGTTTTAATGAGGGGAAGGGGGGCAGGAAAGGCCTAGTGGAAGTTTCAGGGAGGCAGACTTCCTTAAATTAAGGAAGAACTTTCTAATGATTGGAGCCCTCCAAGGATGGACTGAGGTGCCTGGTGAGGTAATGAGTCCCCTGTCATTTTAAGTATTCAAATACAAGATGAGTCAGAGTTAGGGATGTTTTAGAGGGGATTTCAGCATAAGATAAGAGATTGAACTAAACCTATAAAATTACTTTCAATTTTAAAATCCTATGATACCGATGATGATGGTGGTAACTAGCCTTTGTGTAGTACTTTAAGTCTGCAAAGTATTTTACAAGGGAAGGGAAGGAAATAGGTATTTATTAAGCACCTAACATGTGGCAGGTACTACATTAAGTGCTTTGCAAATGTTACCTCATTTGATCTTCCCAACAAATCTTCTGAAGTAGGTGCTATTATTATCTCCATTTTATAGTCGAGGAAATAGAGGCTAAGTGACTTGCCCAGACTCACACATCTAGAAAGTGCCGGAGGCTGGATTCCAACTCAGAGATAACTTTACATCATTCGAGCTTCAGAACTATTCTGTGAGGCAGGTGCTATTATTATCATTTTAGGGAAGAGGAAACTGAGGCTGAGAGAAGTTAAAGGATATGTCCAGCATCACACAGTTATTAAGTGTCTGAGGCAGGATATATTCCCACAGATTGAGAAGAAGAAATGGTAGAGATAATTCGAAAGAGGGAAATGCAAAAGTCATTGTTTGGCTTTGGGGTGTATTATACGTTTCCATTTTCTAATTACTTTTTTGCTAAGGTCAATAAACAATTTAGTTTGCATCTCTAAGCACACTGATAGGCATTAGCAATTTGCAGGCTCTAAGCAATTAGCAAATAATTTTTTTTTAGGATGCTGACATCAACTTTCTTGCAACATAAATGTGTTTTGGTTAAAGAACCAGTATGGTTCACACTTAACAGAAATATCCTATAAGAAGAACCTTTCAAAAAGCAAACCTCTCTGACCCCACAGAGTAACCAAGAAAAGAGAGCACTTAGCTCTGGACTTGTATTTAGATGATAGGGGAAAACAGACCAGAGCTTATGTAAATACTGCACCTACCAAAAATGTTATACGTGCCCTCAACAAATATTTGTTAAATTGAATAATTCAATAGAATGCAGTTGTACTCCCTGAGAGTAAGAACCTTTTCTCTCATCTTTGTATACCATGAACTTAGCACAGTGGGCACACAAGTGTGCTTTTTTTTTTTAACAGCATAGCGGATATGGCACTGGATTTAGTCAGAAAGACCCCTCCGATACTGAGTAGCAGTGTGGCCCTGTATAAGTCACTTAACTTCCGTGTCTCAGTTTCCTCATTCCTAAAATGAAGGGGTCAGACTTGACAATCTCTAAATTTCCTTCCGGGTCTAAATGTGATCCTGTTCAACAGAAATAAGCTTGAGGACAGGGGCTGTTTCGTTTTTGCCTTTTTATCACCAGGTCTGATTACACAGCAAGCGTTTAATAAATGAATACATCCTTGCTGTTCCTTCCCATAAGACAGTCCACCCCACCCCCCTGACTCTAGTCGTTTTCACTGCCCTCCCCCGCCAAGATGGAATTCTCTAATTCTCTCCCCCTCCCCTTTTTTTTGGCTGATTGAAAAAAATAAAATAAAAAAGCCAGCCAAGCTTCTAGTACAGCAGAGTTGACTGCGTTAATCATTTATTCCCAAGAATCGGGTGCTGTCTTGATCAACTTTTGTCCCCAGGTAAAGGGAACCTCTCTTTCCACCTCAGTAAAGACTCTCATCTCTGGGCCAAGGGCTGTTAAATTACTTTATTTGCTTCCACTTCGGAAAGCAGTAAGGAGTCTGGCATCCAGATTGCCGGCTTAACCGCCCCATTCACTCAGCTATTCCCGGGCCCACAGACCTCTCACTGGGAGAAGAGGGGGATGGGACGCGAAGGATCGGAGGGAGAAGTGTATTTTCCATAAGAGCCTCTTACTGACCTGGCTCGGTATTTGGGAAGCGGCGGTTTCGGCAGAAGCCACCGCACCACCCTGCCAAGCAGCAACTTCAGCTAAAAGCAGCGGGCAGGCGCGAGGAGGGGCCCGGGAGGAGGGCTGCGCTTCTGGGATATTTAATGTAAGTCTTGCAACAGGCTTCAAAGAACGTTGCTCTCTCCTCCCCGCCTCCCATCCTCCCCCCGCACCACCCCCCCATCATCCCCCGAGCCCCAACCCCCTTTCTCTCTTTCCTGTTGCGTCCCAGCCCTCCGCCCCACGTTCTTCTTTCGCTGGCATAAACTGACCCAGAGCTGCTCAGCTCTGCTCAACCCTGCCGTGAGGTGCCGTGCGCTGCGCAGCTCCGCTCAGCTCCGGGTAGCCCAGCGGCGAGGGCGCGGAGCTGGGGAGCCCCAGCCCTGCGCTCCCTTGGATTCCGGGGCCGCTCCCCTCCTAAGCCGCAGGCGCTGCCGCCTCCGCCTCCGCCGTCTCCTCCTCGGGAGTTGCGCGCACAGAAGAGGCACCCCCCGGGACGCCCGCAGCCAGCCAGACTGTCGGCAGGGCAGACCGGTAGACGGGAGTCCCCGCAGGAGGGCGAGCGGCCGGAGGGAGTGCGCTTGGAGACCGGCCCGCAGCATGGATTCGGATTCCGGAGAGCTGAGTGAGGGCGAGCCCGTCTCCGCGGCAGGTAAGCTGGAGTCGCAGGGGTTGCTAAGGGGAGGAGGGGATAGGAAGAAGGGGGAAGGAGGCGGGGAGAGAAATCTCAGGGATTTCTCTAGCAGAAGGACTGGCTCATAGAAGGCGGAATTAGTTCTGTAAGATAGATTTTTTTTTACCAGCTGGTTGTGTGTGTGTGCGTACGCGTGTGCTGGTTTTCATCTTTCTTGGATCCCGACCAACTTGTTTAGTTGCAGAATGTGTCAGAGGTGCCAGTGTGGAGAGGTGTGCACTGGACTAGGGATTACCCAAGTCTTGTATTGGACTCTTCGTCCTCTGGAAGCAGGAGGGTGGGAGGGAATGTTTGGAAAATACTTGTAGTGTGCCGCATCAAGGATTGCAAAATATCTGCCCTTTGAATTTTCTTTCCAAATGCTGGCTTAAAGAGCCTTTAGGCAGAAGGGCTAGGATGTATAGCAGGTGACTCAGGTCTGAAGTCAGAAAAGAGAAAAAGGTGGAGTTTAGAACAATTCAGTGGAAAATGACAAGACGAGAAGTCCAATGCCTTGTGTATTCCGGTTTCTAGAATATACATATATATATTTCCCTCTCAGAAATATAGTTCTGAGTTTGGGTATATCCCAAAGCTCCAAGGTGGGACAGAAGGTATGTGAGCCCTCTTGGGGGAGAGGAAGATGAGGAGAGAGAGGTGTGTGCACTGTCGGGGTGGGGGAGGGTGAAGGGAACAGACCAGGCGGCTTTTTTAACCTTGGCTGAACGATGTAAAGGCTGAGGACAGATTGTTATCCATCCCTTCAACCCTCCCAAGGTTCTGAACAGGATGAATTAGGAAGTAACCAGCATCCTCTGGTGATCTGCTGACCATTCACCCTCTCCTGTCCACCCCCAGTCGTTATCATCCAAACATCAACTCACTCTTCTTCCTATTTCCATGACCATTCACCCACGCTCTAATTCACCAAATAATGCTCTCTCTCACCTAGTCTTCCCACGTATTCTTTTGAGTGTGAGGATCTGAGGATATATATAGAGATTTTCAGCCCTGGGGACTGGGAGATAGGGAGGAAAGGCAGGGAATAGAAAAATCGGAGGCTCCCATAAACACAGCCTCCAGTTATCATTGATTGATGTGTGCCAGGAAGGAGCCTCAGGCAACCAGAGAACCCATGCCAGTGGACCTGGAGTAACCAAAAACTACCCACAACACAAAGCCTTAAACTCATTCCCACAGAACGCAGATTCCTATACTGTGGCAGGTCCCTTGAGGTCCTTCCTATTACAGACAGAATCCTGGGCTGGTTCAAACTAAAGTTAAACTAGGGTCCAAAGATATAAACCAAAAGAGAGAGGGTGCCTACAACCTCCTAATGTGGCTCTGGTCCCCACACATGTGACAGGTGGAATGGAGCAGACTTCCCTGGTGTCTCCGACAGCTACTTGCTTATGTATTTGATCTATGTTCGTGCTCCTGTACATATATATCTGTACATCTCTGAGGCATGACCATAAATTAAGACCCATCCTCATATTTAGTTTAAGGAGTTGATCTCATTATGTCATAGTCACACCTTATATTTGGGTATATCTATGTGTGATCTATATATTAAGGGATGTATAGTATTTTAAGGATTTGGGAGGAGGTAGAGGGATGAGAGACACAGGGCAACACTTAGAATATTCTTCCAACCAAAGGAAAAGTGGGAAAAGGCACCGTATTTAGAGTCAGGACCTGGGTTTGAATCCTAGCTCTGTTCTAGCTATTAGTATAACCTTGGGCAAATTACTTCACATCTCTGGGTTTTAATTTGTCCGAGGCCCCACCCAGCTCTAAAATCCTGTGACTTGATCAACAAACCCTGCTGCAGTCCTTGTCCATTTAATACTGTGGCCTTTTGGCATGAGAGCAGGTAGGGGAAGAAGAAGAAAGGGGAGAGGGTCAGAAAATGAAAAAGGAGGGGAGAGAAAGAAGATGAAGGGATTGGAAAGGGAAAGAGGGAGTGGTAGTCTAGAGTAGTTCCTATCTTCCCAGATGAGGGAAAGAAGCAGATTTAAAGTATCTACTTGTGCCTCCAGTCCCTCCCTCCCTCCTTCCCTTCTCACTGAAGGGAATGCAATGCTTGTATATATCTATGAATAATGGTTATGTCAAGAGGACCCTGAAATTCTACCAGCCATTAATTAGCCAACTCATTTGGGGATTGGAGTTACATTTCTTCTGTCAATCATTAATTATTTGCTTGAACTGTCTACAGTCATTGAAAATATACTTTATCTCATAAGTGAAACAAGTATATCGTAGAATCTTAGAGTTAGAAGGTACCTCAGAGGTCATCTATTTTAACTCCTGCTAGAAGCATGAATTACCTGTATTACGTCCCTGACAGATAAATGGTTAGCCACCAGTGACAAGGAATTAACTCCCTCCTAACGCATCCTATTCCACTTTTCAACAGCTCTAATTTTTTTTTTTAATATTGAGTAAAAAAAATTGCCTCCTGGCAACTTCGGTGCTCTGGAGCCATAAAAATAATCTAAATGTTATTTCACATGATATCCCTTCACATATTTGTGAAGATAGTAATAATCATAGATTCCCCCAAGTTGACTCTTCTTCAGGTTAACTATCCCCAGTTCTTATGATAGAGCATCCTGTGACGAAATTTCAAGTCATCCTATAGCTTGATTGTAAATTTCCTCCTTCCTTGAGGGCAGAAACTGTCTTTTGCCCCTTTGTATCCTTATTGGGTAGCTTTAATGCCCAGCACATAGACGTTTCTTAATAAATGTTTATTGACTAACTGACTGAAAATGTACTGGCCCTTCTGAATGAGACATTGTAGCATATTGAGTAGAAAGGACCTTGGAGGCAGGTCCTGGGTTTAAATCCAGCTTCCAACAAATACAAATCACTTAATCTGTTGGTGCCCCAGGCGTCTAACTCTCTAAGACTATCAGTTACTGATGATTTGCCAATCCCCATCTGTGGAGGGAATTTCCACACTGGGAGGTCCCTACACCCCTCTTCTTTCTCCCTACTCCAACCCCCCCATAAAACAAATATCTGTAAAAAACAAACCACAAAACAAATATCTGTGAACTACTCACATACTTTTTGAGGACAGTTTTCATGAAGCATAGATCCATAATCTAATAAAGGATTATCCTTTAAATTTAATTACAAATAGGATCCTAATTAACGAATTTGCTAATAATTGTTCCCTGTTTATAAAAGCATAGAATCATACATTTAGAGCTGAAAGGAACCTTAGAGATCATTTAGTTTAACTTTTTCATTTTGTAGATGAGGAAACTAGCCCATATTTATAACTTTAGGTCTTTAGTGTGACTATATCCATTTGTATGTGAGTGTATATATGTGTATGTATCTATGTATATATGTCAGCATTTATTTTTGTAGATATATGAACTTTACTGTATTGATCTTAAACATTTATTTGTATCATCTATGCATGATAGAGGATGGGTACCTTTCTGAGTACATACATCTCGGTGTGTGTGTGTGTTTTCACATGCCATGTCAGTAGCTTTCAGGTTTGACTGTGAAGACTATCTTACTTTAATCCATAATCCCATCCCTTTCAGGACCACATTAAGTTATTGTTATTGTTGTTAGCTCCCCATCCTTCCTTTTTAGTCTTTTTTGTGGGGGGGGGTGAGGGATATCTTGCTCATACATCACCTTCATTACTAAATGTAACCCTCCCTCAATCTCTCCATCAGCCTCCTCAACCTCCAACCATCAGGCTTTGTAACAAAGAATGGGGGAAAAACAGTTCAACAAACCCAAACAACAAACTGACAGTGTGTGACAGTGTATGTAATATTCTACACCCGTAGTCTCCACCTTTGCAGAAAAGAGAGAGGGGTGCATTTTTTTTTTACTCTTCTCTAAATATTGACAAAGGTGAGTCAGAGCATCCATAGTTCTCTAACCCTGATCTTAGGCCCCTCTTCTCTGAGCATCTTCTATCCCCAGTGTCTGTCATACAAATTTCATGTCCTGTGACTGACTCCCTGCAACTTTGGGAAGGAGAAGGGGCTTAAAATTTTAATTTGTCTTTATGTGCTATTTATCCTTCAGGAAACATGATATTTTTGGATTGTAACATTTAAACTAGAGGGGCACCTAAGAGGCCATCAGATGCAACCCACTCATTATACAGAAGTGAAAACTGAGGGTCAAGAGAAGTGACTTTCTCAGGGTCACATATCTAGTAAATGTCTGAGACAGGATTAGAACTCAAAATCTTCAAGCACCGAGCTCTATCCTCTGTGCCTGTCTTTCTGCTTCTTTTAGAGCACTTTTGTATATTCCTAAAGTTTTATAGCTCCATGATTAGGAAAAAGCCAGGGTTTATGGAACACTGGACTCCTTCCAGAGACCCAAGTTGGCAGTCTTTCCACCAGTAAACCCACCATTAACCTCTCAGACATGCTAGAGATTTTTAGCTTTAGGGTGACTGAGAATTTTTCCTGAGAAGCAACTGGAGAATCAATATTAATGACCTCAGCCCTCCTTTTCTGGCTCAGAAGGATGCCATAACATACTCCACCCTTAGCTAAGGGAAGAAGAGTGTCCCTCAAACCCTCTCTCCCAGATTTTCCAGGCAAACGTATGGCCCATTGGCACCGCACTCTCTTCCCTGCTGTACAGTGGCTGAGATGAGCAATTTTTATGCACTGAAAATCAGTGCATAGAAATGCTTAATGCTGAGACTGAGTTTGTAGTCAAGCTAGGGAGCAGAATTCGCATAGCAATAGCTGCTATTCCTGCCCCTACTCCCCTCCAGGTCACTTACCCCAAGCTTGCCCATGTGGCCCAGTAAGAACAAGGTGAAGATCCATTTCTTTGCCTGTGTTTGTTGGGGGAAAGAGTGTTGGCTTAGTGGATTGTATGCTATTCTTAGGGTCAGGAATGCCTGGTTCAAATCCCACTTTAATCACTTAGTAGCTTTGTGACCCTGGGCAAGTCATTTAACCTTTATGCCC